TTTAGACTTAAAAACAAGAGAAGAGTATCTTGGGAAACCAAACATATAAATAGAAAACTTCATATACATTTTCTAGAACAAGCCTATCTTTTATTTTCATTTGGCTTTTGATTCAGTAAGCTGAACATGGAAAGCCAGAGCAAGTATTTTCACAGGCAAAATATTGACTTATATTCACATTTCAACAAAGAATTAACTTCAAAACACCTAACTTCACTCTACATTCCCCCACAAAAATGAAGATATAGTTAAAAATAAGTATTTTTGTTGGTAAAATTGAATTGCTTTGTAGTATATGTGAAACTAACATGGTAAATTGACCACACTTCAATAAAAAAGCAAAACTTAAAATGCACTTATTTTAAAACAAGTACTTTCATAAATATACTTCCTATAAATTTAAAATATTTCTAACGACAGATACGGATTTAGTATTAAATTGAGATCCTTGACATGAAAACAAACCTTGGAGACTGTCACATTGAGTACTGACAGAACACTGTAGAAGCTGCTTCATTTCAGTAAACAATGGCTTAGCACAATCTTATTATTTGATAAAACTTTTATAGTTAGGAAAACTAGTTGAATAAAGTAGCAAAGTAATAAGAAAAACATTGATGCCTTAATAACAGCGGAATCTTTAAGTACAGTTATGCAATTCTTCAAAAAACTACAAGGATTTCTCTCTGTCCAGAGTGTTCCTTCCCTGGGCCTTCACGTCACTGGCTCCTTCCCGTCCTTCCCTTGGCAGCTTTGGTCACATTCTGATCTGTGCCAACTAAGTGAATTCCACTCTTACTCCACACCCATCATAACTACAGACACGCCCCTTCTGTCAAAAACCAAAGTTCTCCACTTCCTTTACCTGAAGGACTTACTGTGACTGACAGAGGATTCCTGTTTACTTGTCCTTCTGTTCCTACCACTACAGCCTAACCCCTCAACCCTTCGGTCAGTTCAGTGTCTTAACTGCCTGGCACGCAGTTGGTGTTCAGAAGCAGGAATTCCTTTAAGGTCAAAACATCGAAAATCTCAAGATGCCCACAAGCACCAAATCACTCTATACCTATCAGAGATCTCCACTAATAGTCTACTAAAACACGACATACCCCCATTTTAATGAGAACTCCACATGCCCACTCTAACTTTCCCATTCTTAACTATCCACTGCCATTTTCTTGTCCTTCAGGTGTCAAAAAGTGTCCTCAGCACTTAGTAAGTCATTCATTGTCACTGTGATCATCCTGTCTTACACTTTATAGCACCATTTACAGATGACATCTTTTCACATTTGTTACATTTGTTCACTGCACACACCTCAGAGTTAAGTGCCAGTGCCCTTTTACCAACAAGGCCACTGACATTCAATCAGCTCCAACAAGTTTTTCCAAGACCCCACAGCTTATGCATGACAGAACAAAGATGCCAACATATCTGCTGACTTGAAATACAGTGCTGTGCCACTAGGCAGCACCTGTCTAGATCCAAGAGTTCAGGGTCAATTTACCTCTCTTCACAGCTGTCAGCTTAGAACACTCCACCATTGTTACTTACAATACTTCAACTACGGTCACGATTAAAGTACAACATGCAGGCCACACTAACTATCCCATATGGGCTGTCCTCATTACAATGTCACTAACCCAAACTGTTGGTATACTAACCCCACATATTTACTAATCTTCACCATGCTTTTGATTTACATGAAACTATCCCTGCAGATCTACTTGACAAGAAAACTGTAATATTTCCAACTCACAGGCATTTGCTTTTGAAGGTCAAATT